TCTGGTTGAAAGTAGCAATAAGACGATATCTAGTTACCACTTTTGTACAGATGTAACCAGCGTCTACATATCTACTTCATTCTCCCACTGGTCACATGGTTCGACTCTGAGCACACTTGGATGGCAGGTACACACCCAAACAATTTACCCTACCTTCCAGCCATTTTCCAACATGCATTTTAGCCGTCAACAAAAACTCTTCATTTCCAACATTTAGATTTAGAACACCATTTCCTGTGACCAGGTTATTTCCAAAAGGCTGGTGGTAAAGGACAGAACTGGAGCCAATCTTTACACACTTTTAATAGCCTTTGTTTACAGAGATTTACCATACAAACAAGCACCTCCTCAGCCAACAACCAGTTTCAGTCTGTCAGAGCACATTTAACTCTCCTTCCAAGCCCTCCCACCCTGGTTATAACCTCTTCCAACCTCTTCCGTCAGGCAGAAGATACAAAAGTTTACACACACGTACCAACAGGTTCAAGAACAGCTTCTTCCCCACTGTTATTAGGCTTCTTAATGGACCTCTCTAATTTTAAATTTAATGCTGATCTCACTCTTTGTGCACCTTCTCTGCAGCCGTAACATTGTATTTCTCACTCTGTTCTATCACCCGAATGCACTTTGTATGGTATGATCTCCCTGTACTGCACACAAAACAATACTTTGCACTGTACCTAGGTACATGTGACAATAATAAATCAAATCAGATTGTATCTTTATGTAATGGAATACAATGAACAACACGTGGCTGAGCTTCCACACACGTAAAACAGTGACATATCACAAAGTAACAGGTCATGAATGTGTCATTGGAACAGGAGGAATGGAGCTGGATAACCTTCCAATAAGGAACTATGAATGCCGTATGAAAATGAGTAATTGTGAATAAAGGAATGGGGTTTAAGTCTCACTAGTTCAAAATATCTTCTGCAAATCCTTTTGGATACCATTCAGGGTTCAACACTCATCTCATGACTGGAAATTTCGTAATAAAGGCATTGCACAGGACAAAATCTCCTGGAAGTCATGAACGTTAACCTATATAATGACAACTGTTAAAGTATTTGCCTGCAATTATTTTCCAGTGGAGAGCAAGGCCTACAGGCTGTTTCAATCCACTGGGCTCGTGCGCAATGAATCAAGCCCCACTGCTCCTGAAGTTGTGCTAAATGTTAAAGTCTTTTTCTCTTAAGATACACACAATTGACCTGACTTTCAGGCCAAGGTTAATAGAAAAGACAGACTAGGTTTCAGCAATGAACAAGAATTAGTATTTATTATAAGTAATTATAGCTACAGTTATAAAACATTTGCAGACAACTCGACTTGATTAAAATCCTAATCTCCTTATAAGCATTCCTTTACGCAGACATACGCACGAGAAGTTTAGGAAAATAGTTTATTGGTCAGGGTCGGAAAAATTGGAACACAAACAGAAATTGCAGCATCTGTGGGAAGAACGTTTCAAGTCCAGTGACTCTTCATCAGATCTCTAGCATCCACAGTTCTTTGTTTTATTATAGAAATATATTTTCTTCGGATAGCCAGACCCTTGGTGTTCATTCACTGGAAACTTCCAATGGTTTGTAAGAAGCACAAAGTGACTGGTTCACTTGAAAAATGTCACTGATTATCCTACCTTCCAGCCATTTTCCAACATGTATTCCAACATTCCTACTGCAGGAAAGGTGACTGGCTTTTCTTCATGGCTAAACTGAGCTTTATTTTCACTGCAGAGAACAGGCTGCTTCTGCTGGGAAGAATAACTGCACATACTCTGTGCGTGTGGGTCTCTCTCTCTGTCATTTGTTTCCAGTTCCATCCTGGTTCTCAGCTAACTGAGCAATCGGTTTCACTTGTAAACAGCTCCTTGGCTCCTGATTGTCTGCCCATTGCAAGAACCGAAAGCCTCAAAATCAGAGTTCACAATAGGCCGCAATTTCCGCACCGTGAAATTATGCTGCCGTCTTAGTAAATCCCTGTTATTAAATATAGTTCTCTCTCGTTCCAGTCCCCACTTTTGAAAAATACAAAAATCAGAAAAAAGGCAAGGATTTTCCTGGGATGGTGTCTTGAGTTACTGTAGAAGGTGAGGTGGGAAGGTCATTTAATCAAGTAGGGTGGTGGTGTACCTCAATCCCACAGCCACTTTTCTGATCTGCCAGCACGGCGTTCTGTCTAGGAAGCTCCACGATCAACCTCCCTAATCTGCAGTTGGCCAATTACTGACCACTTAAGGGCCTCTGCCCACCACTGCTGGGATTAAACCAGCTGCAAGTGGGTCTGTATCCATGTGGCATTCCCAGAAGACTAAAATAAAGGGTGGGAAGACGTAACACTCATCATTTTCTTTGTTCCTGGGTGCCTGGACTTTGTTCCTCAGTGGCACTGACGAGCGCAGGAGCTGCCAACCTTCGATTGGCTGGCAGGACTTTCATCTCCAGGGGAGGTCCCGCTGGTATCGGTGGAATTGCCCAATTGGTAGAAGAGAAGGTAGGCCTCCTTTAGAAGGGGCAGCCCAGGCCCCGTTGCCAACGGAGGTTCCAGCCCACGTGTGAAGCCTTAATCGGAGATCGATTTGGCTGCCGAGCCTCTCGTGTTCTCCGCTGGGGGGATTCAAGACCATGCTGACTACAGTCCCCAGCGTAATACTCATCTTTCAGGAGTTTTCATAAGGCTGACAGGAGGTTAACTCACAAGATACGCCAAGACCTGCTGTTAGCACATCATATCTTGTCCACTCTTGCATAACCGTGGAAAATTACATCGAAGCATCTGCAAAAAAAAACACTTTCGAGTGTAGCAAAGGTGACTATCTTTTGCTGTAAGTGATCTTTCCAGTTGCAAGAGAGACTAAAAGTAGGACGAAGTCAGAGATATGAAACAAAGACAAAAGAAATGCAACTGCAAATTCCAACAAATAAATCCACCTTTGCCAAGAGGGTGTGTTTTGAATTTGCTATCACAAGGATTAGTTGTGGTGAATAGCACAGATGCATTTAATCAGATAAGCACATGAAGAAAAAGGTATTGAAGGATATGTGAGCTGGGTTAGCTGAAGTATAATGAGAGGAGGCACACAAAAAATGGCCTTCAATGACCTGTTTGTTTAAAATGAATCCTTTCATGGGGCAAGGCAAGCATTTATTACCCATCAGTAACTGCCCCTTCAATTGAGTGGCCCTCTAAGCCATTGAGAGCAGTGAAGAGTCAACCATATTGACTGTGGGTCTGGAGTCACATGTAGGCCAGACCAGGTAAGAATGGCAGATTTCCTTCCCTAATGTACATTAGCGAACCAGATGGGGTTTTTATAACTGTCAATGACAGTTTTCATAGTCAGTGTTACTAAAAGTAGTTTTTGATTCCTGATTTATTGAATTTCAATTCCACCAGCTGCTGTGGTACGATTTGAAGCCACTTCCCCCAGCGTATTGGCCTGGGCCTCTGGATTACTAGTCCAATGACACCACAATCTCCCTGTCTCTTTCTGTGCTGTCAATTGTATAATTGTCAAGCAAAGAGTCTCCAACATTTCCTGAGGGAATTTAGACAGTAGAACAAATCTAGTACAGACCTATAACGCTTTAGACATAGTATATTATAGAGATATACAGCACGGAAACAGACCCTTCGGTCCAATTCGTCCATGCTGACCAGATATCCTAAATTAATCCAGTCCTATTTGCCAGCATTTGGCCGATATCCCTCTTAAACCCTTCCTATTCATGTCCCCACCCAGATGTTGTAATTGTACCAGCCTCCACCACTTCCTCTGGCAGCTTGTTCCATACACGAACCACCCTCTGTGTGGAAAATGTTGCCCCTCAGGTCCCTTTTAAATCTTTCCCCTCTCACCTTAAACCTATGCTCCTCTAGTTTTGGACTCCCCCATCGCTGGGGAAAAGTTGGCTGGTCACCCTACCCATGCCCCTCATGGTTTTATAAACCTCTATAAGGTCACCCCTCAGCCTCCGACGCTCCAGGGAAAATAGCCCCAGCCTATTCTGCCTCTCCCTGTAGCTCAAACCCTCCAGTAAATCCTTGCAAATCTTTCCTGTTAAATGCATTTACAACAAAAGAGAAAAGGTAGTGCTTTTCAACCTTTTATTGTGCTTTGACATGGTACTCTCTATAAAGGCAGGATTTGAAGAAGCAGTATCTTGTTTGACTTCAGAACAGCTATTTGCGAATCAACCTGTCAAAGATGTTGTTGCACACTTCTGAAGTGGGTGGGACTTGAATTTAGGGCTGCTCCCTCAAAGATAGGGATGCTATCGCTGTGCCACTTAGCTTCAGATTAAATCACCCCTTCAACTGAGCAAGTCTCTTAAAGGGGCAGGCCATGTTAAACATAGCATAACGACAAACACATAACCAGTGGAAAAAGTCCCAGCCTATCCAAACTCTCCTTATAACTCAAACCTTCCATGCCTTGCAGCATCCCGGTAAATCTTTTCTGAACCATCTTCAGTTTAATAATATCCTTCCTACAACAGGGTGACCAGAACTGGACACAGTGCTCCAGAAGAGGCCTCAGCCATGTCTTGTACAATCTCAACATGACATCCCGACTCCTATACTCAAAGGTCTGAGCAATGAAGTGTGCTAAACATTTATAAAGAAAACAACCGCCAGAGGAAAGCTACAATAATGGCAATTTTAGTGGTCCTACAGCCATCCTCCACCCCTCCCCCTTCCCTTATTCAGCAAACATCATTACTTAGCTCCCCCCTCCCAAGTCACGTGACTGCATCGATGTACCTGTGTCGGCTGTGTTGGGGTTGAAGACGGTATTGCTGTAGGTGACAAACTGCAGTTGACGGTTCAGGTTGTCCAGTTGAGAGCTCGACAGAGACATGTGCATCGCCCCTTCACCTTCGATCATCACCTTATCAACCTCAGCAGCCACATCGAAGGTTCCCAACGTTGCCGTCAGGTTGACCTGTAAAATAAAGAGACTGGCTGAGCAAATCGGACGCTGAGGCCCAGCTCGGCTGAGCCGCTGTGTGCAGCATCATGGGATCGGCACCCTGAAGGAGGGGAGCGACCACAGGCCAGCTGGCTTAACATGACAGTACAGGGTTTGGAATCCATCACCTTTGGGAAACAAGTCATAAGATGACCTCCGGACATTCCAGTTCATTAAGGAGAGCCAGCAGAGATTTGTAATAGAGATAGTAAGAACTGTTGATGCTGGAGTCTAAGATAACAAGGTGTAGAGCTGGATGAACACAGCAGGCCAAGCAGCATCATAGGAGCAGAGAGGCTGATGTTTCGGGCCTAGACCCTTCATCAGAAAATAGGCAGGTCGGGTTTGGTGAGTTAAGTCAAATGTCTTCATGAAGTGACAGGGAGAGGAATGCTGTGCATGTTGTCTATTGGATTTTAAGCAACTGTTCAAGAAAGTCACAGTTATACGGCACAGAAACAAATGATACCAAACACTACAGGAGTGGAAAACAGCGAAGATGATACTTGTCGACTACAAAAGGACATTGATATTCTAGCAACATGGACTGATGAGTGGCAGACGCAGTTAACATAGAGAGGCATGAGGTGATGCATTTTGACAGAAGGAATGGGAACAGGATTATAAACTTAATGACACAGTCAGTGACAGAGGGATCTGGGGGCAGAGATCTTTGAAGGTGGTGGGCTACAATGGTGAGCAGACGCTCTCTAGGCTGACACTGAGGATGAAGGGCTATCCTAGGAGGAGAGATTGGTTCAACTGGGCCTGTATTAGTTTCAAAGGATGGGAGGCAATCTGACTGAAACGTATACAATTCTAACACAGCCGAACAGACTGGATGCAGGGAGGATGTTATTCCTGGTTGAGGAGTCTAAAACCAGGAGTCACAGTCCCAGGATATGGGGCAGACAATTTAAGACTCAGTTGAGGTAATATTCCTTCTGTCAGAGAGTAAACATTCTGCGGAATTCTCTACCACAGAAAGCTGTAGAGATCAAGTCACTGGATATATTAAAAAAAAATAGATGTGTATTTATGTTTTAAAGGCATCAAGGGGTAATGGGGAGAAAGGGGGAATGTGGCATTGAGACAGAGGATCAGTCATGGTCAGATTGAACAGTAGTGAGGGTTGATGGGCTGAATGGCCTACTCCTTACCCTAGTTTCTATGTTTCTGAAGCTTACAGGATTTTGCGCTTTGTAAAGACAGGCATGGAGTACAAACGCAGGAGATGACACTGAACGGTTACCAAGCTCTGGTTAGACCACAAGTAGAGTTTTGTGTCCAGTTCAGATTTCAGGGTTTTGGGTAAGAGATGCAGGGGAAATGCAACAGTTGTTTTTTTTTTCAGAAAAACGCAGCAAGTGATAACAACTTGGACTTCAGGCAGTTAGAAGCAACTCTACAGAGATGCAGTACAGACTCGATGGGCTGAATGGCCTCCTCCTGTGCCACAATTACTCTGCGCCTCATTTACAGTTTCCACCCCCCAACCCCCAAAATGACACATCTCCATTGGACAAGAACAGACGATTGGGTGAAACAAGGATTTGTCTGACTGATATTAAAAGACCAGAAGAATTAGGAGCAGGAGGAGACCATTCGGCCCCTCAAGCCTGCTCCACTGTTCGACACGATCCTAGATCTTTAACTCCACTTTCCTGCCCACTCCTCCTATCCTTCGATTCAGTGAGGGAACAAAACTCTTTGCCGATCGCAGCCTTCAATATATTCAACGACAGATCGTCCACCTCTCCTTTGGGGGAGGGGAATCCTAAGATTCACAGCCCCTCTGAGTGAAATGTCTCCTGATTTCAGTCCAAAAATGATCATCCCCTCACCCTGAGACTGTTCTTCCGTGTTCAAGATTCCCCAGTCAGGGGGAAAACAATCTCTCAGTATCGACCCTTTTATAGAAACATCGAAAACAGATGCAGGAATGGGCCATTCAGTCCATTGAGCCTGATTTGCCATTCAATATGATGATGGCTGACCCTCCATCTCAAAGCCACACTCTCACTCTTTCCCCATGCCCTTCAACACCTTTTGGCCTTTGGAAATCTATTCAGTGACTTTGCCTCCAAAGCTTTCTGTCCCGGTGAATTCCGCAGGCTTACCACTGTCTGAATGAGGACACTTCTCCTCGTCTCAGTCTGAAACGGCCGATTGCAAATCCGAAGATCATGGCCGCTTGTTTTGAATTATCATCCCTGCACCTACTCTTCACCCAAGGAGAAACGTCTTCACCCAAAGAGTTGTGAATCTGTGGAACTCCCTGCCCAGGGAAGCAGTTGAGGCTGTCTGGTTAAATGTTTTTAAGGCGACGATAGATAGATTTTTGAACAGTAACGAATTAAGGTTTATGGTGAGTGGGTGGGTAAGTGGAGCTGAAGAAAGATCAGCCATGATCTTCTTGAATGGCGGAGCAGGCTCGATGGGCCGGATGGCCTACTCCAACTCCTGTTTCTTATGTTCTTATTCTGACTATCCCAGTCAAGATTTTATCTGTTTCAACAAGATCCCCCCCACCAAACTGCAGTGGATGCAGGCCCAGCCAACTCCATCTCTCCCTTATCCTGTCATCCCAGGAATCAGTCTGGTAAACCGCACTACACTCCCTCTGGGATATAACATAACTTTTCTTTTGTGAGGAGACCAAAACTGCACACAGTACTCTAGGTGTGGTTTTATCAAAACTCTGTACAGTTGCAGTAAAACTCCCTTCCTCCTGTACTCAAATCCTCTTGCAATAAAAGCCAATATTTGCCTCACTAACTGCTTTCTGCACTTGCGTGCTGGCTTTCAATCACTGGTATACAAGGGCACCCACGCTCCTTTATACACTGGCATATGCCAATCCATTGCCATTTAAATCATACTCTGCCACTCTGCTTGCCCTAAGAAAGTGTAAAACTTCTGCCATGTATTTATCCGCTCAGTCAACTTATCTAAATTGCCTTGAAGCCTCTTTACATTCTCCTTATTACTCACAATCCCAAGTAGTTTTGTGTTGTTGGCAAACTTGGAATTGTTCGATTCTCTCATTCAAGTTATTATTATATATTGTGAATAGCTGGGCCCACCCAGTACTGAACCCGAGTTACTGCCTGTCACTCTCTGCCACCCAATTCTCAACACATGCCATTGTCTCACCACCAATACCTTGTGCGTTGATAAAAGCCGAAAGAACCGCAGATGCTGGAAATCAGAAACAAAAACAAAAATTGCTGGAAAAGCTCAGCAGGTCTGGCAGCATCTGTGTAGAGAAATCAGAGTTAACGTTTTGGTCCAAGGACCGTTCCTCAGAACTGATGGTAACTGGGAAAATGTTGGTTTATATGCAGAAGATGGGGTGGGGGGGGTGTGGGGG